ATCCATTCTTGTTATCATTTCCTCGAATCTTTTTTCAAATCTTTTTTCAAGGTTCTTAGTTTCTTTGCATTGATTTAATACATGATCTTTTAGCTCACAAAAGTTTCTCATTATCCATCTTCTGAAGTCTAATTCCGTCATTTCGTCACAGTCATTCTCCGTCCAGCTTTGTTCCCTTGCTGGTGAGGAGTCTTGGTCCTTTCTAGGAGGCGATGTGTTCTGGTTTCGGGTGTTTTCCTCCTTTTTGCGCTGGTTTCTTCCCATCTTTGTGGATTTGTCCACTGGTCGTCTGCGTAGTTGCTGACTTTTCGTTTGGGTCTCTGAGTGGACACCCAGAATGTTGATGATGAAGTATTTCTGTTGCTTGGTTTTCCTTCTACCAGTCTAGCCCCTTCGCTGTACGACTGGTGAGGTCCACTCCAGACCCTGCTCGTCTGGGGTGCACCTCTAGTAGCCGTGGCACAGCGAGGGATGCTACCAGTTTCTTTTTCTGCTCTCTTTGTCCCAGGATGATGCCTGCCTAATGACAGTCTTTTGGATATAGAGGGGTCAGGGAGCTGCTTGAGCAGACAGTTTGGACTTTATAGGGGTTTAATTGCTGAGCTGTGCACTCTGTTGTTCATTCAGGGCTGTTAGGCTGCTATGTTTGATTCTGCTGCAACACAGCTCATTAAACAACCCTTTTTTTTTCTCAAATGCTCTGTGTTGAGGGGTTTGGGCTTTATTTTTGGATGTCCGATCAGGTGTCCTGCCCAGCTCAAAGGCAGACTAGCCACTGTTTGGCTGCCGAGGCTCTGCCCTGCTGTTGTGTGATTCGCGCTGTTCCTGCCGGCTCTGCTGTGGTCTCCGCCACGCCCTGCGGCGGAGTCTCTTCGTTGTAGCGTGTTGCCTCAGCAACGGCAGGCTGCGTCAGCAGTGGGCGTGTATCTCAGTAGGGACGGGTTGCCTCGGCAATGGCTGGCTGCGTCAGCAGTGGGCGTGTATCTCAGTTGGGGCGGGTTGCCTCGGCAACGGCTGGCTGCCTCAGCAGTGGGCGTGTATATCAGTTGGGGCAGGTTGCCTCCGTAGTGGTGGACGCCCCTCCCCCACAGAGCGTCTCGGACCGTCTGCCCGGGATAGTTTGAAATTGCGGTTTTGTTCGTCCCACTGGGTATCCCAAACGATCTGTCCCTGCAATCCCCTGGGCTGGGCTACTGTGCAAGTCTCGTTCAGTCTCAAGTCCAGCCCTCTCAAGTCTCAGGTTGCCGGTTCAACAAGGCACCCGGACAAGCGCGCCCTGTGGGGATTGCTGGGTAGGGCCGGCCGCCGCCGCCCCGGCTGCCGGCTTCGCCAGGCAGACCTACTGCCTGGCATTCCGTGTCTTTTTATACTTGGGAGTTTCCCCGTTCTGTGGGCAACAAAGATCAGTCTGGAAATGCAGCACTGACTCACCGTTTGCGAATTCAACGCGGGCTCCAATCCTGGGTTGTTCTCACAGCGCCATCTTGAGTCCCCTTCCGATGGTTTTTTTTCGCATCTATTTTTATATTAGCATGATGCTGTTATAGTTACTCTGGCTTTGAAGTGCAATTTGAAGTCAGGCAATGGAATGCCTGTAGCTATTTTTTTTTCTTAGTATTGTTTTGGCTATTTGGGTTCTTTTTTGGTTCCTATGAATTTGAGAATTGTTTTTTCTAATTCTTTGAAAAATGACATTGGTTTTTATAGGGATTGCATTGAATCTGTAGATTGCTTTGTGCAGCATGCTCATTATTACAGTAGTAATCCTTCTGATCCACAAAAATGAATATTTTTCCACTTGTTTATTTCATCTATAATTTCTTTTATCAGTGTTTTATAGTTTTTACTACAGAGCTCTTTCAAATCCTTGATTAAATATATTCCTAGTTTTTTTTTGTAGCTTTAGTAAGTGGGATTGCCTCATTGATTTGTTTAGCAGGTTGATCATTATTAATGTATAGAAATGCTACTGATTTTTGCACACTGATTTTGCATACTGAAACTTCACTGTAGGGATATGTCAAATCTAAGAGTTTTTTTTTTGCAGAGTCTTTAGAGTTTTCTAAATATAAATTAATCCCATCAATGAATAGAAATAATTTGACATCCTCTCTTCTCCATGTAGCACACCTATTATTTCCTTCGCTTGCCTGATTTCATTGGCTAGCACTTCCAGTACTATGTTGAATAGGAGTGGTGAATTGGACATTCTTGTTGCAGTTCTCTGAGGAAATACTTTTAACATTTCCCAGTTCAATATGATGTTGGCTGTGGGTTTGTCATGTATGGCCTAGTTTGTTGAGAGTTTTTTTTTCTTTAATCATGAAGTGATGCTAAATTTTTATCAAATGCATTTTCCACATTTATTGAGATGATCATGTGGTTTTTGTCCTTGATTCCGTTCATGTGTTGTATTACATTTAGTGATATGCATATGTTGAACTAAAAATGCATTCTTGGTATAAACACACTTGATTATAGTGTATTATCTTTTTAATGTGCTGTTGGATTCAGTTTGGTAGTATAGTGCTGATAGTTTATGTACCTATGTTTATTAGTGATATTGGGTTACAGTTTTATTCTTTTGTGTATGTTCTTGCCTGATTTTGGTATCACAGTGACACCAGCCTATGGAGAATTCCTTCCTAAGGGTTTTGAAATAGTTTTTGGAGGATTGCTATTAGTTCTCCTTTTATTTTATTTTTTTTTAGAATTCAGCTCTTAATTCAATCTGGTCTGGCATTTTCTTTGTTGGGAGATTTTTAACTACTGACTCAATTTCAGTACTCATTATTGAACTGTTCACATTTTCTATCTCTTCTTGGTTCATTCTTGGAAGATTATGTGTTTCCAAGAATTAACCCAGTTTCTCTAGGCTTTTTAGTTTGTGAGGATATAGTTTTTCATAATAGTCTGTGATGATCTTTTGTATTACTATGGTATTAATTGTAATGTCTCTTTTGTTGTAACTAACTTTATTTATTTGAATTTTCTTTCTTCTTTTCTTGGTTAGACTAACTAGCAGTTTGTCAATTTTGTTTATTTATTTATTTTGAGATAGTGTCTCACTTTGCTACCCAAGCTAGAGTGCAGTGGCATAATCATGGTTTACTGTAGCCTCAACCTCCCAGGCTTAAGCAATCTTTCTGCCTCAGCCTCCCGAGTAAATGGGACTACAGGTCCCACGACATCTGGCTAATTTTGAATTTTTTTGTAGTGACGGGAGTCTCACTTTGTTGCCCAGGCTGGTCTTCAACTTCTGTGCTCAAGTAGTCCTTCCATTTTGGCCTCTGGAATTGCTGGGCTTACAGGCATGAGTTACTGTGCTTGGCGTGTTTGTCTTTTTGAAGAACCAACTTTTTGTTTTGTTGATCCTTTGTATTGTTTTTCATCTCTATTTTATTTAGTTCTGTTGTAATGTTTGCTATTTTTTTCTTCTGCTAACTTTAGGTTAGGTATGTTCCTGCTTTTCGAGCTCCTTAAGGTGCTGATTTATAATTTTTCCTCTTTTTTGATGTAGGCATTTAATGCTATAAACTTACAGTTACCACCGCTTTTGCTATATCTCATAGGTTTTGGGATGTTCTCTTTCCATTTTCATTTGCTTTAAAAAATGTTCTCTATTTCTTTCTTAATTTCTTCATTGATCCAATGATCATTCAGGAGCATTTGGTTTAATTTCCATGTATTTGTATAGTTTGCAGAGTTTCTCTTGGTATTGATTTCTACTTTTATTTCACTGTGATCTGAGATGATATTTGATACAATTCGATTTTTAAAAAATCATTGTGATTTGTTTTATGGTATAACATATGGACTATCATGGAGAATGTTCTATTGATGAGAATAATGCATATTCTGTACTCATTGTGTAGAAAGTTCTGCAAATGTCTGTTAGGTTTATTTGATTCGAAGTTGATTGTCTGTCTAGATGATCTGTCCCATGCTGTGAGTAGGGAATTAAAGACCTCCACTATTATTGTATTGCTGTCTATCTCTTTCTTTAGGTCCAATAATATTAGTTTTATGAAGCTGGGTGCTCCAGTGTTGGGTGCATATATATTTAGAATTCTTACAGCCTTTTGTTGAATGACACGTTTATCAATATACAATAATCTTCTTTTACTATTTTTACTGTTTTTGATTTAAAGTCTGTTTTGTCTGATATCAGTGTTTTTACTCCTGCTTGCTTTTGGCTTCAGCTTGCATGGAATATTTTGCCATCTGTTTCAATTTATGTGTTTTTATAGAAGATTTTGTGAGCAGCATAGGATTGGATCATGTTTTAATATTCTGCCAATCTCTCTCTATATATTTTTGTAATAATGTTTTCTTTCTTTTTCAAAAAAATGTTGTTGGTACATGATAGGTATATACATTGATGGGGTACATTAAAACTTTCATATAGACATGCAACAAACAATAATCATATTGTGAAAAATGGGGTATCTGTCTCACTAAGCATTTATCTTTTCTGTTAGAAATGATCTAATTAGAGGAGAGCTGGCAAGATGGCTGAGTATGAAGAGCTATGGTCTGCAGCTCCCAGTGAGATCAACTCAGAAGACAGGTGATTCCTGAATTTCCAACTGAAGTACCCCATTCATCTCATTGGGACTGGTTGGACAGTGGGTACAGCCCACAGACAGTGAGCTGAGACAGGGTGGGGCGTGGCCTCACCGGGGAAGTGCAAGGGGTCAGGAGATTTCCTATTCCTAGTCAAGGGAAGCTGTGAGAGACTGTACTAGGAGAAATGGTGCATTCTGGCCAAGATTCTGAGCTTTTCCCATGGTCTTTTCAATCACAGACCAGGAGATTTTCTCTGGTGCCTGACTGGGAAGGTCCTATCCCCATGGAGCCCAGAAAGCTAAGATCCACTGGCTTGAAATTCTCACTGCTAGCACAGAAGTCTGAGGTCTGTTCAGGGATTCAAGTTCTTCCTGGTTTAGTCTTGGGAGGTTGTATGTATCCAGGAATTTATCCATTTCTTTTTTTTTTAAATAAACCAGCCAGTTTATTATTTTATAGTAAGATGTAGAACTTTTACCATGCAGACTGGAATATAGGTGTCAGCATGAACAGTATATTTTCTTCCTAGAGGTAGTTACATGGAAAACCAGGTTATTATCAGGTTATTTAGCGAGTGTGGAATCCAAACAAGAGGAGACTAATCTTAAGACCTACAAATCATCCATGAAGCCTTGGGACACACTTTCCTACCACCCAAACACCGTAGCCTCCAGAAAGCTGTGGACTCTTCCCTCTCCATCTTGTTCTGGCTGAGTACCACCATTGATCAGCCATACCCACAGGCCATAACTGCAGCCATACCCACAGGCCAACTTGGCCTAAGAGCTGTATCTCTGGTCACTGGTTTGTGTTGTTATAGCCACTGTTACTAACAGTTAAGGTTCTCAAGGGGGCACATCAATTGCTCCCAATTACCAACTACGAGACCCATGTACCAACTATGAGACACAATAATCCTGTTAGTTTGTTCTCCCAAACCCACTCCACTCAAGTTTATCAGGTAATATGCTCTGTAAGGTTCTTTCAACCCCATTAGCACATACATAGATTACCAATAAATTCATCTAGTGTAACCTACCTTCCTACTGAGGATTGAGTTTTTCTTTTCCCCACTTTCTTGATTCTCAACCATGTAGGAATTAATGAAACCAATTCTATGTCACCACTGCAACCAAGACAGCAATACTAAGTGATATGTATTTTTCAAATTAATGTCATTTTGTTCTCTATACTGTGAAATACGATGCAGTCCTCAATTTAGTACTCAATACTAGGAAGGGTCAAGTTGTCAAAAAATGTCTATCAACAGTAGGAAAGTTTGCTTTCAAATTAAAAAACAAAGTGTGTATTGCAAACATCATGTAATGATAAAATTACAGAAAAAATATATTCAAAATGACCCACAGCATTCATACCACAATGCCGTGGTATGAATTTTGCCTGTAACAAAACAGTAAATTTTATCCCAAAAAGTAGGTTAGGTCCATGCTGGCTAAAAACCTCAGTCCCAGACCCACTAAATGAGGATGAAATACACAGTGCATGCTTAACATGACATTGCTTATCCATCAGCCATTCTTTAATGCCCCTCGCTAGGGTTTTGAGGGAAAGATGGATGAAATGTGAACGTGTGCACTCACAAAAGCAGAATTTTCTTCCAATTATAAAAAGTCATACATGTGACCCTTTACTATGTCTTGGGCAATAGCTAAGTTTTTGTATATGGGAATCCATCTTTGAAAATCACAACAAAAATCAATAGGAAATGATTTAATATAAAATATACACATTTCTAGAATGAGGACTTTCATAGGAAAGGAAGGAGACAACAATGAAAATGAATTTTCTTAAAAAAATAACATTCCCTTATTTTGTCCCTGTTACACAACACTCAAAACCAAGTCTGTACAAAACTGGGTAACACAGAAAAGGACCAGAAAGGATGTTAAATTGTAAAGTCTTAGGACCTACCCTAAACTTCTGTCCTCATCAAGACCCTCACCTAGAGAGCTGAGGGTTCCCAGGTCCACTGGAGAAAGTGAGTGGTCTCTGACCATCATCCCTGCTTCCCCAAAGATGGCCCCAGGTCATTCACTGTCAAACTTCATGGAATTGACCTGAACAGAGATGGAACCTCCCTGGTAGCTGCCCCACTTCTTCTTGGTTTTCTCATGCTAGAAGGACTTGCCTTTGGTGAACTTCAAAACCTGATTGGCTCGCTCTCCCCCGTCTCCAGCTGCACCTCGCTTGGCATCAAAGGAGTTGTCTGCCACTCGTGAATCCACCTCAATTTCCTCCTCCCTGACCCTTCGGAATGGGGATGATGCTCCTTTTTCTCCTTTCTTCCTTTTTGGAAATGTGTTAGGGGTCTGAAGCTTTATCTTCTTAGCCTGAGGAGTCTCAGCCTCCTTGGCAGCCTCATTCTGCTTCCGCTTCTTTAATGAACCTGGTTTGGAAACTGCCACTGCTGCCTTTTTCTTTTCTTCCTCCTCCTCGCTGTTCTTAGCTGCTTTTCCATTCTGGACAGTCATTGCAGAGGTGCCGTTGGCCTTGAGGGCTTGTGGTCTTGGAGTGCCTTTGCCTTTGCCCTTGGGCTTCTCTTCTTCCTTCTCACTGGAATCATCAGAGGAAGAACTGCTGCTGCTCTCAGCCTTTCCTTTCTTTGCAGAGGCTGACTTGGAAGGGGCTGCACCTCCTGCTACCTCCTGTGGCTTCTTAACTGTGGTCTTGGATGTCTTCTTTTCCTCCTCCTCCTCATTGCTGGAGCTGTCTGAATCAGAGCTGCTGTCCTTACTACCCTGAAGAGCCTGCTTGGCAGGCAGAGGTGGAGCTGCTGTGGCAGTCACCTTGGGCTTAGTGGTGGCCACTGTCTTCTTTGTCTCCTCCTCCTCACTGGAGCTGCTCTCTTCCTCACTGGAGCTGCTGTCAGCCTTTCGCATGAGAGGCTTCTGGCCACCACCCAAAGATTGCTTAGGGGCTGCAGCTGGCTTCGCTGCAGGTGACTTGGTGGTGCTAGCTGGCTTATTGGAGGAATTCTTGGTAGTACCAGCTGGCTTGGAAGGATCTTCATCATCCTCAGAGCTGTCAGAGTCTGAGCTGTCTCAAGAGCTCTCTGCTGCTTTCTTTGCTGGAGGTGGTTTAGTGGTTGCTTTAGAGACAACTGCCTTAGCTGGGGGTTTCTTCTCTTCTTCGGAACTTGAATCAGACTCATTGCTGCTGTTTTCACTGCTTTCCACAGGCTGGTGCTTCTCCACAGCATTCTTGGGAGGCTGGGTTCCCAAGGTCTTTTTTGGTAGGGGAGCAGAAGGTGGGGATACTGAACTGTACGGACCTGGTTTATTTTTCATGTTTTTTTTCTGCTGTTCTTCCTCCTCACTGGAAGAATCCTCACTGCTGGAACTCTTCTGGGTTGGGGTGGCAGCTGCTTTCACTGGGGCCTTGGCCACAACTTGCTTTTTAGGTACAGTCTTCTTGGGGGTGGCTGCTGCCTTCTCCTCCTCTGAGTCATCACTGCTGCTGCTGCTGCTACTGGCTGCTTTACCATTGACTACTTTAGGTGCTGCTTGAGCTGGTTTAGGTGGGGCTTTAGCTTAAGGTTTAGCTGCCACAGGTGTTATCTTTAGCTTCTGGTTCTTTGGTGGCTCATCCTCAGAGCTTGAGTCAGAATCAGAATCAGAGCTCTTGGCCTTCTTAGGAGGAACTTTGGCTGCCTTGGCTTGGGGCTTAACTTCCTTCTGGACAGACTGTTTCTTTTGGTCCTCCTCTCCTCATCATCATTGGATTCTTTACTGCTGCTGCTCTCTGATGCTTTGGCTGCAGCCTTCCGAGGAGGCAGACCAACTCGCTTGGCAGATATAGCATCCTTCTTTGCTGGAGGCCCTTGAACTGCTGTCCTCACTACTGTCGCTGGATGAGGCCTTCTTCTTTGCTTACTTAGTCACTGGTCCATTTGCCTGTAACTTTCGCTCTGGGGCCTTGGCAGACTTGAGCCAGAAGCTATAGATGTCTAAGAGGGAAGAGGCATTGGCATCCTGCTTTGTAGCTCCTGTCGCTTTGGCGAACTTATTGGCCACCTCCGAGAGTTGGTTATCACGCAGGAAGCCGAGGACGAGGGGATACAGGTTGCTGGGAACCACGCGGCTCAAGCCGGCGTCCACCATCCTCTGGCCAATACGCGTCACTACTGTCGTCGACGCAGCACGACTCAGGAACCCCGAATTTATCCATTTCTTTTAGCTTTTCTGGTTTATTCGCATAGAGGTGTTTGTAGTATTCTCTGATGGTAGTTTGCTTTTCTGTGAGATTAGTGGTGATATCCGCTTTATCTCTTTTTATTGCATCTATTTGATTCCTCTCTCTTCTTTATTATTCTGGCTAGCAGTCTATCTATTTTGTTGATCCTTTCAAAAAACCAGCTTCTGGTTTTATTATTTTTTGAGGGTTTTTTTGTGTCTCTATCTCCTTCAGTTCTGCTCTGTCTTCTGCTGCCTTTTGAATTTCTTCGCTCTTGCTTCTCTACTTCCTTTAATTGTGATGTTAGGATGTCAGTTTTAAATCTTTCCTGCTTTCTCTTGTGGGCATTTAGTGGTATAAATTTTCCTCTACACACTGCTTTAAATGTGTCCCAGACATTCTGGTACTTTGTGTCTTTGTTCTCATTGGTTTCAAAGAACATCTTTATTTCTGCCTTCATTTCATTATTTACCCAGTAGTCAGTCAGGAGCAGATTGTTCCGTTTCCATGTAGTTATGTGGTTTTGAGTGAGTTTCTTAATCCTGAGTTCTATTTTGACTGTCATGATTTTCATTCTTTTGCATTTGCTGAGGAGTGTCTTACTGCGAGGTATGTGGTCAATTTTAGAATAAGTGCAATGTCGTACTGAGAAGAATGTATATTCTGTTGATTTGGGGTGAAGAGTTCTGTAGAGGTCTGTTAGGTTTGCTTGATCCAGAGCTGAGTTGAAGTCCTGGATATCCTTGTTAATTTTCTGTCTTGTTGATCTGTCTAATATTGACAGTGGGGTGTTAAATTCTCCCACTATTATTTGTGGGAGTCTAAGTCTCTTTGTAGGTTTTTAAGAACTTCTTTTATGAATCGAGGTCCTCCTGTATTGGGTGCATATATATTTAGAATAGTTAGCGCCTCTCGTTGCACTGATCATTTTACCGTTATGTAATGCCTTTCTTTGTCTCTTTTGATCTTTGTTAGTTGAAAGTCTGTTTTGTCAGAGATTGGCTTTGCAACCCTGGCTCTTTTTTTGCTTTTCATTTGCTTGGTAAATCTTCCTCCATCCCTTTATATTTCCTCCCACCACCAAGCTGGAGCATCCCAGGTTGAGCTCATGGTGCGGTTTCTTCATAGCATCGATGATCCTTTCCCTTCAGATTGAAGAAATATTTTAGTATTTCTTGTAGAATAGGTCTGGTGTTGATAAAAATCTCTCAGGTTTTGTTTGTCTGGAAAATTGTTTATTTCTTAATGCTTAAGAGATATCTGTGGGCTATACTATTCTAGGGTAGTGATTTTTTTCTTCTAGCACTTTAAAAATTTCACACCACTCTCTCCTGACCTGTAAGGTTTCCAATGAAAAGTTTGTTACCAGATGTATTGGAGCTCAATTGTGTGTTGTTACTTGTGTGTTGCTGCTTTTAGGAAACTTTCATTGTTCTTGGCCTTTGGGAATTTGATTTAAATGCCTTGAGATAGTCTTCTCTGGGTTAAATCTGCTTGGCATTCTATAATCTTGTACATAAATGTTGATATCTTTCTCTATGTTTGTGACGTTTCCTTTTTTTTTTTTTTAATATAAACTTTTCTACCCACATCACTTTCTCTACCTCCTCTTCAAGGCAATAACTCTTAGGTTTGCCCTGTTGAGGCTATTTTATAGATCCTGTAGGCATGCTTCATTTTTTAATGCTTTTCTTTTGTCTCCTCTGTTTATTTTTGAATAGCCTATCTTCAAGCTCTCTAATTCTTTCTTCTGCTTGATTATTATTTTTTTTTACAGGTTGATTTGATTTTTATACATTGTACTTTAGGTTCTGGGGTACATGTAAAGATCATGCAGGATTGTTGCATAGGTACATACATGGCAAGGTGGTTAGCTGCCTCCATCCCCCTTTCACCTATATCTGGCATTTCTCCCCATGTTATCCCTCGTTAACATTTCCACCCCCACTGTCCCTCCCCTAGACTCCCCAACAGACCCCAGTGTGTGATGCTCCCCTCGCTGTGTCCATGTGTTCTTATTGTTCAACACCTGCCTATGAGTGAGAACATGTGGTGCTTGATTTTCTGTTCTTGTGTCAGTTTGCTAAGAATGATGGTTTCCAGATTCATCCGTGTCCCTACAAAGGACATGAACTCATAGTTTTTCATGGCTGCATAGTATTCTATGGTTTATATGCGCCACATTTTCCTTGTCCAGTATATCATTGATGGGCATTTGGGTTGGTTCCAGGTCTTTGCTATTGTAAACAGTGCTGCAATGAACATATGTGTGCATTCGTCTTTGTAATAGAACGATTTATAATCATTTGGGTATATATCTAGTATGGGATTGCTGGGTCAAATGGAATTTCTATTTCTAGATCTTTGAGGAATTGACACATTGTCTGCCACAATGGTTGAACTAATATACACTCCCACCAACAGTGTAAAAGTGTTCCTATTTCTCCACATCCTCTCCAGCATCTGTTGTTTCCTGATTTTTTAATAACCACCCTTCTAACTGTTGTGAGATGGTATCTCATTGTGGTTTTGATTTGCATTTCTCTAATGATCAGTGATGTTGAGCTTTTTTTTTTATATGTTTGTTGGCTGCATAAATGTCTTCTTTTGAAAAGTGTCTGTTCACACTTTACGAAAGAAGACATATATGAGGCCAACAATCATATGAAAAAATGCTCATCGTCACTGGTCATCAGAGAGATGCAAATCAAAACCACATTGAGATACCATCTCACGCCAGTTAGAATGGCGATCATTAAAAAATCTGGAGACAACAGATGCTGGAGAGGATGTGGAGAAAAAGGAACACTTTTACACTGTTGGTGGGAGTGTAAATTAGTTCAACCATTGTGGAAGACGGTGTGGCGATTCCTCAAGGCCTTAGAAATAGAAATTCCATTTGACCCAGCAATCCCATTACTGGGTATATATCCAAAAGTCTATAAATCGTTCTACTATAAGGACACATGTACACGAATGTTCATTGCAGCAGTGTTTACAATATCAAAGACCTGGAATCAACCCAAATGCCCATTGATAATAGACTGGATTGGAAAAATGTGGCACATATACACCATGGAATATTATGCAGCAATCAGAAATGATGAGTTTGTGTTGTATGTAGGGACATGGATGAATCTGGAGAACATCATCCTCAGCAAACTGACACAAGAACAGAAAATGAAACACCGCATATTCTCACTCATAGGTGGGTGATGAAAAATGAGAACACATGGACACAGAAAGGGGAGTACTAAGCACTGGGGTCTATTGGGGGGAAAAGGGGAGGGCCAGTGGGAGGGGGAGGTGGGGAGGGATAGCCTGGGGAGAAACGCCAAATGTGGGTGAAGGGGAGAAGCAAAGCAAAGTACACTGCCATGTGCGTACCTACGCAACTGTCTTGCATGCTCTGCTCATGTACCCCAAAACCTAAAATCCAATAAAAAATTAAAAAAAAAAAAGAAAAGTGTCTGTTCATATCCTTTGTCCACTTTTTGATGGTTTTTTTTTTTTCTTGTAAATTTGTCTAAGTTCTTTGTAGAGTCTGGATATTAGCCCTTTGTCAGATGGGTAGATAGCAAAAATTTTTTCCCATTCTGTTGGCTGCTGGTTCTTTTTCTGTGCAGAAGCTCTTAAGTTTAATCAGATCCCATTTGTCTATTTTGGCTTTTGGTGCCATTGCTTTTCGTGTTTTAGTTATGAAGGCCTTGCCCATGCCTATGTCCTGAATGGTATTGCCTAGGTTTTCTTCTAGGTTTTTTATGGTTTCAGATCTAACATTTAAGTCTTTAATTCATCTTGAGTTAAGTTTTGTACAAGGTGTAAGTAAGGGATCCAGTTTCAGCTTTCTGCATGTGGCTACCCAGTTTTTCCAACACCATTTATTAAAGAGGGAATCCTTTTCCCATTGCTTGTTTTTGTCAGGTGTGTCAAAGATCAGATGGTTGTAGTTGTGTGGCATCCTTTCTGAGGCTTCTGTTCTGTTCCATTGGTCTATATCTCTGTTTTGGTACCAGTACATGCTGTTTTGATTACAGTAGCCTCGTAATATAGTTTGAAGTGATGTAGTGTGATGTCTTCAGCTTTTTTTTTTTTTTTTCTTAGAATTGTCTTGGGTCTGGGGGCTCTTTTTTGGTTGCATACAAAGTTTAAGTTGGTTTTTTCCAATTCTATGAAGAAGGTCATTGGTAGCTTGATGGGGGTAGCATTGAATCTATAAATTACTTTGGGCAATATGGTCCTTTTCACGACATTGATTCTTCCGAACCATGAGCATGAAATGTTATTCCATCTGTTTGTGTCCTCTCTTCTTTCCTTGAGCAGTGGTTTATAGTTCTCCTTGAAGAGGTTCTTCACATCCCTTGTTAGTTGTATTCCTAGGTATTTTATTCTCTTTGTAGCAATTGTGAATGCGAGTTCACTCATGATTTGGCTGTGTGTTTGTCTGTTACTGGTGTATAGAAATGCTTGTGATTTTTTGCACATTGATTTTGTATCCTGTGACTTTGCTGAAGTTGCTTATCAGCTTGAGGACATTTTGGGCTGAGATGATGGGTTTCCTAAATAAACAATCACGTCATCTGCAAACAGGGACAATTTGACATCCTCTCTTCCTATTTGAATATGCTTTATTTCTTTCTCTTGCCTGATTGCCCTGGCCAGAACTTCTAATACTATGTTGAATAGAAGTGGTGAGAGAGGGCACCCTTGTCTTGTGCCGGCTTTCAAAGGGAATGCTTTCAGTTTCTGCCCATTCAGTATGATATTGGCTGTGGGATTGTCATAAAAAGCTTTTATTATTTTGAGATATGATCCATTGATACCTAGTTTATTGAGAGTTTTTAGCATGAAGCGCTGTTGAATTTTGTCAAAGGCCTTCTCTTCATCTATTGAGATAATCATGTCGTTTTTATCTTTGGCTCTGTTTATGTGATGGATTACATTTATAGATTTGTGGAAG